AAAAAAAAAAAAAAAAAGACTTTTACTGTGCTGTGATTCTCCATGCTTAAATCAAATTCAGCGGTGTTGTACTGAACAGTCTCCATCGAATGTAAAGGAACTGGATGTTCTACACTCCCCCACGTGGTGATAGAAACCAAGTTGTACCACATCACTTAAGTAGTTGCATAAACTGCAGGCATGTATGTAGTTCCTATTCAGAGGGGTCTACAGTTATATGGGACAGTGGAGTGACTTAAAACTAGGCTTTTTTTAAAATTACAATTCCCCAAGCAAGTCTAAAGTGAAAAATTTAACCTACTTTTTATTATTAACAAGAGCTTCAAGGTTTTGCTTGTAATAAATTATTTACAAAGTAATTTGAATCAAGTAGTCCTGGTTACAAAGATGGAGGACAGCTGAAAGTTTTTCCTGTCAATCCATTTCTTTGGATTCCACAAAAAATCTCTTAGTAAACGCTTTCTGCAGCTGCAGAGTTAGACACGTCTTTCTCTGCTGCCCTTGCCCGGGCTACAGTTCTCCACCAGTATCACTCAGAAGAGGACTGGTTCGTCATAGAAATCCTCAGCTACAGTGGGCTTCCAGGAATGGAAGAGGGCAGCTTTCACCTCTGGGTCAAACTCTTCACAGGGATCCAGTAACTGGGAGGAAAAAGAAAGCAACTGGTATTAGCTTGCTTTGAAGAAGCAGCAATTGGCTTCTAAGATCAGCACCAGCTCAGCCTCTCTGTTTATAGTAAAGTTCCCAAAACATGCCTCAGCTAGAGAAGAAACAGCCTGGTTTGGGGTCAGGCAACAGCCAACTCCACACAAACAGTGGATCTGTACTACCAGAAAAGTACTATGAAAGGGGCATTTAAATGCTGTATGGTTTGGGGACAGCACTAGTTCATGATTAGTCTTGCAAAAAAGACTGAGGGCTGCATGCATGCTGACACTAAATGGAGGGTAGGCAGGAGCTTACAATGACTTGATAAAAGTGAAAAGGAGGCGGACTTAGCATACCTGTTGTATATGTGTAAAGCTCTTTTTAGGGCACCATGCAATTGAATGTAGCAGAAATTGACGAGCCTTAGTTATCACCTCTAAAGAATCCACCTAGTGAAAAGACATCAAGTTCAGGACAGAAAGCAAAGTCACTTGAAATCCTCACTTTCATCTTTATTAAAAGAATGTTGACTTTTACAAGTGGCTTAGGTACTTTAATTTATCCTATTTACAGATTAGGTACAGAACTTCGCCATGTTTAAAATTAAAGTGCACTCTAAGGTCCTCTAATAGCAAGGTTAATGGGCATGTCTATCTTATGATGGCACTCCAACCTGATCATTCTTTTATGCCACACTGGCAATTATTTGTAGGACTTTGGCACCTCCAGGCCTTAACCAATCTCAGAGCCCCCCTGGGTTGGGTACTGTACAAGTATCACCGGTATGTCAGCCATTTCACAAAGCAAATCTACTTTGTACAGGCAAGGGAATAAATGGTATTGTGGCTAGGAGGCTTTCAAGTACAATTCAGTTAGGTAAGAGAAGAGAATGACCACCACTCACGTGTTTCACGCTGTGTAGGCTTTGTCCCCCCTGATCTGATCTCCGAGGATTCTCCCCTTCTAGGTAGAGTCGAAGCAGCTGGGTATACATGTCAACAGCAACATAAAGGAAGGTTTGCTCTCGGTTAAGTAGGTTTTGGTGAAAGCAGGGGGTAAGGCTAGAGGGAATCACACAAGATATAGAATGAGTACAGTGCAAGAGGAAGCCCCTCAACAGCGTCTCACCATACATCTTTAAACACATTAGGGGCAAAGGTGCAACCAGCATTTTCACCATCAGACTTGCTGTATTCAGCACTGGACACTACTCCCACCCCTTGGAACACTGGAAAGTGTGAATAGACACTTCTAGCAAGAGAAGATGGAATCACACCATCTGGAAATCATAGTTCTGCTGAGTTGATGAAAACAGTAAGATTTCAAGAAGGTCCTGAAGAGCAGGGAAAGCTTTCATGGACTATCAAACAGAAGTAGCATTGGCTTTCAGAGGGTTACAAGTGTTCTTAGCTTAGCAAGTTACCAGTTTGTTTCACCCATAAGACACTGGCTGCGCCTGAAGTGGCCATCCCAGCCAGGTTGGGTGGAGTCTCTTTGCCTTGGCATAATACAGCCATCCCAAACTCATGGCAATCACACTATCCCCATTAGGAATTCTCTCCCTGCGTACACACTCGTCTAAGCTCGACTCAATCACAGAACATGACTAGAATTGCTTAGAAATGGGCACGTGAGCAGCCAACTACTTTCTTCTCTCAAAACAATTCCCTTAACATTTTTTGTTGTTACCTGTAAAATGCAAAAGGTAACAGGCTGACGTATTGGTCTGAGGCTGCCCTGTGTAGAATTTGATAAGGTCCACGGTCTGCAATATCCAAAGACAAGAGAAGGGTAAAATGTCTTAGATCATCATTAGGTCTCTCCAGGTACTTCTACAGCAGTGCAGATGTTGGGCATAGTTCCTTCCAGGCAACAGCTGGAGACAGTACATAATCTGACGTTTGGATCAGGTCACTCCTGTGGAGGAGTGCGTGATGGTTTTCAAGCCTGTCTCTAGCAGGTGGCACAGTATTCATACTGATTGTCAGCTACTGTGAGGTTTAAACTGTTTGGACTCGAAACAGCAATTTGTTACATTCAGTGAAGATCTGGCAACCCTTCACTGGGCTCCCGCCTTGACACAGCAGCTGATAGAAGTCAAAGTGCTACCATGTGAAAACCTAGAGTCAGAAAAGTTTCTTTATGCCCCAGAGGGGACTGTTTTCTCTGTGTTGCTTACAGGGTGGAGAGGCTCTTTCAGACAAATATATTCACCAGACCCAAAAGGTAATCCCTTAAAGCACCTGGTACCAAATTTTGCATTCCCATAAGTTAGGGAGGAGAGTTCTACTCACCTTTCTCTGCTGAATGAAAGAGAGCTAGCCAGGATATGCCTTGCTCTTCCAAGCATCCGAGGATCTCCAGGCAGCATTCCAAAGATTTTTGAACCTCTGTCCCTTGCTGTATATTTCAGAAAAGAACATGCACACCCCTTACTGAATTGTGGTTACATTTCAAACAAAGAACTGCCCTAGTAATAGTGATGTTTATCAAGTGCGGTGTCAGTGCCAGGATTAGTACAACTAAAGGCACAGATGGAGCTTTCCTCCACCTCTCTACAGTCAAATGCATTGATGCTAATGCCAGAGGCTCCAGATCCCCCTGGACCAAGGCAGAAAGCATGCTGTAACCAGCGGTTTAGCAAAAGCTGTAGAAAAAGTAACAGCAAGGACCAGCCTATGACCAAAGCATTTCCAAACAGTTCTCGGCACGTAGCCTTGGGCAAGTCACTTCCCCTCAGCATCTTTCAAAGGGGGAATGTCACCACTTATTTCAGAGCGTTATGGGCATTAGTTAACATTCAGACAGCATTCTCCAGTTCTACCCCATCTTCTCCCACCGTTCATGCGTCTCTCCTGACCAGTTTGTCTCCAAGCCTCCTTTCACATCACCCCTCTGCTTGGAACAGCCTCTCAGATCAACCTTTGCCAAATACCTTCCCTTAAAAATAATTCCCCAAAACCTTGTTGCACAAAGTAATCCAGCTGCTATGGTCCCTAACCTCTCTGTTTGGTCTGCGTTGTTAGATTGTCAGGACAGGGATTCTTCTCCCTCTTTGGGACATTATCTCCTGCCCTATGGAAAGTGACCAATAATAAATGCAAAATGCTAGACAAAGGCTAAGCCGCATTATTTGTATTAGTTCAAGCAGTAGGTAGGTGAGTGAGGCATAAAGTCCACTGAATGGGAAGGTCTGAAAACAGTGAGTCAGCCAGGAAGACACATATTAAATACTAACATGGTGGGGAAGGTGGTGTCATAATTAAAGGAGGGCTGCTGTGTTTGGCTTATGAACAAGGCAGGAGAGAGCAAGGACTTCCATCATGCTCTGCCTGGGACATTCTTTACTCCCTCCTCTAGCAGGCTTGGTAGTGCTGGCTTAAGGGATTTTTAGGTGGCAAACCAGCCTTTTTAAACCCATACAGTGTAATGAGACAGGGATTGGGATTTACCTTTGGTGCTAATCTGGTCAAGATGAGATCCATGAGTGAAAAGAACAGCAGGCACACTAGGAGCTACAAGTGAAAGAGGCTGTACATTACTTATAGCATCAGTATGGACTTGCAGGGTGTACATTCCATTCATGAAGGAAGCCCCGCAAACACGTCCCGAGGCTTTCCTGGGTTGGTTACGAGCAGTGGGATTCTTTCCAGGAAGACTGTGGCTCAAGAGGGCCCCAAGGCTACACAGCACTCTGGAAGCGGATACAGCAGGTGAAACGGGGGTAGCAGTGACTGGAAGTCTTGAAGCCACAGTCCATTTCTTCTTAAGAAGAAACTCCATATTAATCACATAATTCTTAACAGCAGGAATGAGGCTCATTGAAAGTCAGAATCGACAACCTTCCCCAAATCCACAGATGTAAGTGATCTTCAACACTCGGGAAGCTGCGGAAGGGACAGTACTGCCCAAGCAAAGGCATATTGCAAGCACATACTAAGCACCCCTCTCACCTCTGGCAGTACCCTCAGTCCTACCATACAACAAGCCTATTAGTCCTGTTCTGGGGCTCTGCCATTCAGATAAAACTGGGGGGTGGTTTTGTGATCAGGACCCAACCCTGATTTTCACTTGTGTCATTATTCAAATAGGAACCCAGGCCTCCTTCCTTCTAAGAAATTTGACAGCTGAACCAGCCAAAAAGATTTATGTACAACATATGTAGACTAGGATATCTGAGGGG